AGGTTTTGAACTCACTATTTTTCCGAGGAGCGAGATGGCTCCAGTCCCTGCCATCAGACCTGCAGAAGGCGCCTAGCATCATATGCGTTTAGAAGTAAGTTGAAGAGGGTTGGCTTGATGAATTTGATTGGCATGCAAAATGTTAAGTTATGGAGTGTTTTTTACTTGTGTGGGCACTGTCCGGCGACGGGGGGGGGGGCACTTTTGCTACTTTCCATCGACGTGTCGACCTATCTAGAAGGCCTCTTCTCGAGTTGACAAGGTCTTCACATGATGGCTTGACGACCTTGCTCCAGCTTCACAAGAGTTCACTAAGCGCGACTTTGTAAGCCGGAACTAGTGAAGCAACGACAGTACGAAGTGCGCGTCCCCCCTTTGGCCCAAACGTGGGAACTGTGCACTGTGTGCCGTATTCTCATGCCTTTCTTTTTGTCTTCTAGATATACTCCTTGGATACCATTGTTTTTTTTTCTTTATTTTTTGTTGTAACCATGAATACCGCTGAAATTGTGAGGATCTAATGTGCATGGTAAATAAATAAATAATCCACCAGCCTAACGCACATCCCACGATGTACCTCATGGAATTGTCGCTAAAAAGATCTCTGCATTACCCGAAATGCTGAAGTTATAATCGAATCCCTGAGATCGGTAGGCGTGGCCGCATGTTTCAACTTACCTGAAGGTGTCTATGCTTCTGTGAGATATTTTCATCTTGACACAATTGTTGTCGTGTCTCTGTCCAACACAGAACAAGATGACAGTTGTCCCAGACTGGAATATTCCACGAGTAACCAGTTCCGTGCCATGTTCAAATGCCACGCCTACATACTTGGAGCCTCTCCTCATTCTCCATTTCTCCTTGAAACAAGAGCCAACGTCCAAGCCGAGATCATACTAAAACATACCAGTTGCGGGCAGTTTAGCGGCTGACATCTTTCCCATCGTAGCAGTAGCAAAACGATAATGAGGAGTTTCACTGTTGGGAGAAGTGCTGATGTAATGTAATGTAATAAAATAACAAATAAAATATTTACTAATTACTTCAGTATGGCATCCAATGTGTTCCACTCAGTTTAACCTCAGTGCAAAATCAAAGTCAATCAACGGTATCATCCTGAGTTGCCTTCCTATGATTGTTACATTGTGATTGACCAATAAATGATGATGATGATGATGATGAATAAGTGTCAGTTGACATTAACCCCCTCTACACGCAAGGTTACTTTCCATGGAAGTTAGAGCTCAGCTAGTATTGAGAAACCGGAGGAATACGCCACATTGAAGGTAATTTTCCACACGAAAAGCAACCGAGTCTTTTACTGTTGGTCATTTTGGTGGAAGCTTGATGGCTAGTATCAGGCGGCTAATCGTTCCCGTTGTACTGAACGAGCAGTCGGAACGGAAAGGTGAAGTATAAAGCATTTGGAGTCGTGACGCTCATACAATTCAGCTATTGTCAACTAGGAGAACGATGAGGAATAATAGCAATAAACCCGCACTCAATCTACGAATATTTCTCTTCCATAGTGGATCAGATATAAGTTTTGTTTCGGGGCATACACCACACTTCTTCAAATTAGGGGAGCGAAACTTCATACCTTTGAAACATTTTGCACAACCGAATAAAATGCAGCGCGCTGGGGATATCGGAAGAAAATGGAACCTTTTCTCAGGCTGATTTGAGCGTGGAAAAAAAAGTCGGGTCTAGGACCTTTACCTTTGACCACCTCACTGCTGCCTAGATGGCGCACCTTATTGTCTATAATTAGAAATAGTGAACTCCCATAACCAACATGAAACCTCGGTGGACTGTTTGAATCCTTTTCTCCATAGATATTCCTAGCTGGTTGTCTTGCTCATTGACTTTGCTACTGCAACGTAACAGCAAGAAGTTTTAACGAAACAAGATGGACACACTCAAAGTCTTTTGCTATTCTACGGTGACAGCGGTGATACCGTAAAGTGCTACGTCGTCACTATTGAGAAAACCTCTTCAGATCCGTGATCAATAAGTAAGTGTTCCAGTTCACTCTGTCTGCATTTGTAGCGCCCTCGCGTATCTATTGGGCGCTTCGTGTCAAGGTCACTCATACCCATTCTATTGGCGCTCCCAAAACTTGATCCTTTCGATTACAGTTCTTTATTCAACGTAAGGCCGTAACCAGGTGAATGTGATGAGTTTATTTCAATTCGATCCCTCCTGTAATAAGTGGCCAAGTGAACCTGAGGCTTTTCTGTGTTTCCATGTGTCGAAAATGCTTTGTTTGTTGCGTTCGTTGTCTCACGTTTCTCCCATTCAGCAGTGGTGCGACCACCTCAGACGGTTCCACTATGAAGTTGCTACTCCTCATCGCAGCCACTTGCTTAACAGTATTTGGGTCAAAAAAGTCATCTAAGGATGATTTGTCCAATGGTGAGTTTTTTTACATATTGGAACTCAACCTGAGCTATGGGAAATTATGGTTACGGTAAGTATATTATGGTCACGGTATGAATATATGTCCATCCTCTCAAAAACTGAATTGTGATCTTTTTCTCCGAAGAGGTGGCTAGTGTTGCTTGCTGCTTGTGAATTGGAGGACGACATTTGCGTTGCTTGGCTCTTACCAGCCTCTTGCGCTCCTTGTATTTGCTGCCAGTTGGCCTCCACCTGGAACAGTTGGGTCAGTAAGTCGTACCCTGTTTCCAACGGCTTCGAGATACTTGTTGTGAAAGCACAACGTAGTGTTTTGACCTTTTTATACCTACTCATACGAGCCTGGCACCAAATGACTGACTGAAAAAAATTAGAAGTATTTGCTGACTTGAGCAGGGTTTGAACCCAGTGCTCCAGAATCCACCTCTTTTTGAACTATGTATGCATGAGCTACTATTGCCAATCATTTCCGTAACCTGCTTTATATGCCCCATGCAGTCGTATTTTAAATTCATGGTTTTGCGATGGATATTCAAGTTCCGGTTGATTTGCACCTTTCTTCGGGAACGGGGACAGGAGATCGCCTCTTTTGTTGCAAACCCGATATCAAAACTGTGAAAGGAAATCAAGAGTAACCGTTCCACTGCACATCAAGTTGCCCTTCCCATGTCCTTTTTCGTTCCGCAGCCAAACAGGTAACAAAACCGGATGCACTTTCCCCGTGTGGAAGGTTTCAGGCTGAAGGTAAGGTCTGCGCGAGAGTTTAGACCGATTGTTATTGTAGTTTTCTTGGCATAAAACTGTTTAGACTGTCAATCGGCGCAGCGATTAATGTTGAATATTTATGGGAAACCTTCTAGTGTATTGGAAATCACGAGTTTTTCATCGAAGGAAGTAACGTTTGACATCAATGCACCTTTTTTATAGGGTTCCGTACTGAAATAGATTGGGTGGCATGGGATAAGGCAGTTGGAGTAGCGAAGGATCTCAACAAACCGATTTTCTTCCTTATTCACAAAACCTGGTGTGGAGCATGTAAAGGTAAGCATCATTTGCTCTTTCGAAAATCGAAATATTTACTGTGATTTCACTTTCTCACTTGTCTTTTTGTGATTATCACTGTTCATACCAAGTAAACCAAATAACTCTAAAGCGTTCTAGTTGCCGTGTAGTATACTCGAGAATACCTGAGATGGGGTAGGCGTGGCTGCATACTTGAAGTGAAAGTGGCGGCGGCCAAGGTTTTCATAAGATATTTTCGTTTTGGGACAGTTGTGATCATGTGCTTGTTTAACGTATTTTAACTCCGACAAGATTGCAGTTTTCTCAAATTGAATATATTTGGATTTGACGAGTAGGTAAAACTATGTATGTCAAAGTGCGACGCACGGCTTTTCAGGATAAGGAGGAGTCCATCGATGATTGGTGTCAAATAGGATATAGTCTTTACAAATGTGGCGCACGTTCAGACTACAAATAGCTAATTTACTGAGACGCACGCACGGTGAGATGTTCGATAGCGCCTCTCCTTGACGAGGTCGTCAACTGGTATATGTGACTAACAATAGTAATATAGTCGGCGCTGGTGGGCAGCGGCGAGGCGACCGCGAGAACTAGCCTCTTTCAATTCTTTATAAATTAGCGGAATGTGTGTACATGGCAACATTATCTGTCGCGTCTTTGAATAGTGGTTACGGAGTTGCATACAGATGAAAGGATGTGTGTAAAAGTGAGGAAACAGCAGAAAAACATGCCGAAACTGCCCTAAGACAAAACCCATTCGATCTGCGCAAGTTGTGTACGTGCACAATGGGCTCATATATAAGAAATACGCTCATCGTGTGTTATTCCATAAGAATCTAACGACATACAGGTAGATTTCATACTTTTCGTGTGGCAACTTACTTTTTACTTCGAAAGCGAGCCTTGGAGGCGGAGTCTGGAGGCGGAGTCACTGGAAAAAAGGAGGCGTCACTGAACTATTGCGCTATAGCGCCCCTCCCTTACAATTTTTTGCCGCGAAACCGGTACAAGGTTGTTCGTCGCGGACCACACTACCCTCCTGACGCCATATTTTCAACCTGATCGCTGACCGTACCTTTGAGGAGAGATCTGCCCACTTGTTCAAACCAAGTCCTAATAAACGAACCACAGAAGAATTGGAAGGCCCCTTCCGTACCTTTCGCCACCTTAGAGTTCATTGTAACTAGCGAAAAGCTGCCACCACAACCTCAACATCACGGCTGGGATGTGGAATGATATATCCAGTGGACGAAGACGAGGTCATGTGCGCGGCAGCGGACGTCCGGTGGATGCCACATCCGCGCTAGGCTTATGAACTGAATGCAGCTTTCCGACTTAGTTACTTTGACATACTGTAGTTCCTCCGCTTCAAATCTGTCAGTTCCTGGTGCAAATATGTGCTCATGGCGCCGTCTTTGCCGAAAATCCTGCACCCGAGCAGGCCCTGCTGATATGATTGCGGTAGCACCTTCCTTCTAGTATAAGCGAAAATCACTTAATACTTCATTTTGAGCTGTTCTTACATAGCTGGGCTACCGTCTTACCTGAAAGTGTGCGTAATGCTGAACTCACTGCACATACAGGAAAAGGGAAACAAGTCGGTAGTGAAGGGACTGAAACTAGCGAGCACTCAACAAAAGTTCAACTGTCCAGATAGTCCGCAGAATGCTTTGTGTAACGCTTTGTATGAAAAGAATGCTTTGTATAACGAATTGGCAAAAGGAGGGTAAAGGGGTATGATATCGTTCGAAATAACGTAAGTTGCTACTGTGATTTTGCTGGCAGAAAACATGTTTGTGAACTGGTAGAGGTAGCGCAGGTCTTAGCCTATCTTACTGATCGTTCAACCGCCCCAAAACGAAAGTATTTGGCTTTGAGCGTACACGAGACAATGCCAGGTCTTATACATGTGAATTACTGCACATGAATTCGATTGTTCTCGTGACAAATCTTCGGATCATTTTTGGTGCTCGATGTGTGACTTCTTTCTCATTGCTCTCCTTTTTGCAGTTCAGGCTGTCGGTCTTTTTGGGTCTTTTGCAACTTGATTCATCAATAATTTCCCGTGTGCTTTCCGGACGGCTCTGTCAACTTGCTGGATCGCCTCGCTTCTATTTGCGCATCTACCTTTTGTTGCGTATATGGGTCGCGCTAATGAGTTTCTTGTCGATTCCTACTCTCTGCAAGTTCAGACCGTGCTGATGAGTTTTCTAAATCTCATAAGCGAAAAGGAAGCATCTAAACCACTGTGGTGGACTGTGAAGTGCTTGGTACACTAATTGATAAAAGCATGTACGAGTGCATATAAGCCGCTGGGCAAACTCCAGTTGAGGGTGCATCGTTGTACGAAATCCATCAAAGGGCTCATGCAAGCTCGCTGCGGAAGGAAGGTTCGGTGGTTTTGATATGAAGAAAACAAGAAAAAGAAGAACAATAATGAATGGGTTTTGGTACACTGACGCAGGATATTTCCCGATATGAAGAGAAGTATAGGACAACTAACGATATAGCTAACAAGAGCGGTTCGGCGACTGGGGGGAGGCATTTTACACTTTAGTTGCTTCACTAATTCCGGTTTACAAGTCTC